ATAAGTAGGTGGATACTCTGTGAACAATTCAAGTGATTTCCTCATTTTTCCTAATATGTCTTTCCAAAGCATGTTCCAAAGCATAATCCCAGCAGCACTCACACCCATAATCCCTGTAGCATTTACACCCATAATCCCAGTGAGTTAAGCACAAACTCCAGAAGTCCACCCCATGACTGCCTCAGGCTGGGGAGGGGGGAAACTAAGCACAAACCATAACAGTTGCAGAGCAAAATACTTTAACATTATTGGCAAGTAAGGCTTATTTTCTACATTTTCAATGTAAAGACTAGAGTACTATAATACAAGGTAATAATTTAGCATCCTTTCTGCAGGTATTGCCTTTCTTCTAATTTTTCTGTGTTTACCATTTATTTTTTCATTAAAAAAATCTTTTGCTTATTTACTTATTTATTTAGTACAGGGTCTCACTACACAGTTCAGTTTCATAGTGATCCTTCTGTCTCAGCCTCCCCAACACTGGGATTACAGGCATGTGCCACCACACCAAATTTTTGTGGCCAGCACATGGTATGCAGTATAGGGAATTGAACCCAGGCCCTTGAGCTTGCCAAGCAGGCACTTTGACCACGAAGCTATCTCTTCAATCCCTCACCATTTTTTTTTTTTTCACCTGAAAATTGTCTCTACTCATCAAAACCCCTCTCTGGTTGCCTCTTCTGTCTCTGTTTGGGATGTGGTACAAAGGACCTCTTCAAAGGGTACCACGCTGCGTTGCTTTTCCTACGAATAAGTAGGTAGATATTCTGTGAACAATTCAAGGGGTTTCCCCAGTTTTCCTAAATATGTCTTTCAAAGCAGTTTGAATGGATATTCATCTTCTTTCACTTTGTAAATATTTGAAGGAATCTGGGAGGAGTCATGATTATTGATGAATCATATTGGTGGGGGATACTGAGAATTATCTAATCTGGCTCATCTGAGATAGGAGAAAATATAAGCACACCGTAGTTCAATGACCTGATTGGTAACATAGAGGAAAAAGGAAGATATATAGAGAAAACATAAAGGAAAGACCTTCATGAAAGGTACTAATGTGGACTGGTTTTCAAGCATTCATGAGTTTTCAGTTCATGAATGTTTTACCAGGAGAAGAAAAGTAAATTGGTGGATCAGAGAAACAGAATACTTTTTTTTTCACCAAGTATATCTCACTATTCTATTGTAAAAAAGTTTTTTATTAATGAATTATTTTCACTACTGCTGCATTGTTCTTCTCAAGAACACTCTACTGTGTTTTAGATTATAAGAACACTCTAATCACTCTACTGTGTTTTAGATTATTTCTGGCCTTTCATCTCCAATTCTGAGAATTGACTTCCCAGTGTTTTGTGGACCTTTTTTCTTCCCATTAGACTGAATTAAGCTTTTTCTTTAAAAAAATTAATTTATTGGCAGAATGTTTTTCCAACAATTTTATAAGAGCTTTGGCTCTGAAGGAAGTATTTATTATATTTGTATTTTAACCCCAAAGCAAACAAGAAAGAAAAGGAAACTGGAACCAAAAATTAATTTTCAATTTACAGGGATATTAACATATGAAGTATGGTTAGAAAATTTTT